CATATGCGCCGTGTGCGGCCCGAGCCCGCGATGGAGGAATGCCCACGAGTTGGTGCAAGAAGTCGGTCTCGGTCATCCTGGCGGCGGCGGCTCTCTGGAGCAGAGCGGCGCGCCCTCCGGTGGTCAACCCTCGAATTACTTCCAATTGTGCTTCTTCCGTTTGTGTAAGCCGTGGCGGTAGTAAATATGGCGGTAAAGCGGGCCCGACTTGGCGTGAATATCCCGCGCACATCATTCCCAAGATACCGAACACGATGCCGAAAAGTACGCCAACTGCCAACCATCCATAGCATACCGCGAACGGGCCGAACCCCGGAGTAGAGTAGTATGTTGGGTTTTCTCCGCCGCAAATGGCGCCAGCGTGGACTGTTGCCAATTTGCATTCCCGTGGGAGCGTAGATAGGAATGCCAAGGCAGACCCGGCCGCACCCATCGTATGTTGAGCTGCGCTGGAGGCCACACCAATGACCGAGGACAACGCAGAGCCCCAATCCACGCCACCAAACTGTTCGGTCACTACGTCCCACCATGTCATTGGTCGTCGGCACACGGACGCGGTGAGGGCGAGAAACAAAGCGAGAATGAAATGGGATGTAAGCGGTAAGTGCAAGAAGGGAGGTAGGTTGGAGTATGGGGGTAGGAGTATGGGGGTCTTTTTTATTTTTCGTCGAAAATCCCCCTTGTAGGGAAACAGGTCCGACCTAATCCTTGGGGGGAAGGGCGGCCGCTCCGGGCCCGGCTCCCGCGGCGCAGAGAGAGCGCGGGCCCCGCCGGGCTCCCCGATCGAGGTGACCTGGGAGGGAGGGATGCGCGACCCGTGTCGGGGGCGCGCAGACATGGATTGGCGGCCCATGGATTTGGTAGGAGACCACATGCGAACCCTACCCCTCCCCCCCACGATTTCTGATGGGGAGGGTGGGGTTCACTTCGTTCGGGAGCTCTCGAGCAAAGTGAACCCCACCCTCCCCCTCAGAAATCGTGGGGGGTAGGGGTAGGGTTCGCATGTGGCCCCCCATTTGGCGCGCGGTCGCCGAACCCACGGATCGTGGGAGGTGCCCTCCCCCAAATGCGGCTGGTGCCGCCTCGCTCGGCGGCGGAGATCTGCGAGTTCCAACGGAAGCGGGACCCGTCGCCAATCTGTCTGCGAATTTTGCACGTCTCCGTCTTCGTCCAAGTGTCAATGCCACATCGTGAAGGTCGTCCTTCTCCAGTCCAGGGATGCCCACATGCAGGTGCCCAATTACCCCATCGCGCTCGTCTGTCCAATGGCAGGCGTACCGTCCTGATCTGTCCACTCCTGCTCCTCCTCCTCCTCCTCCCTCCACCTCCATCTCCTCCTTCTCCCCCTCCTCCACCTCTCCCTTCTCCTCCACCTCCCCCTCCTCCTCCTCCTCCTTCTCCGCCTCCTCCTCCTCCTCCTCCTCCTCCTCCTCCACCTTCGCCCAACTCCCTCCCACTGCCGCTTCCCTCTTCCCCCCCTCCCCCCCCTCCTCCATCTCATGCGCCCCCTCGCCGCCCCCTGTTGAATGGGGCCCTGGGACATACAAACAAATGCACACAAATAACAAGATTCCCCCCTATTTTCCCAGAATGTTCTAGGTCTTCTTATGTTCTCCTGGGGATCGACGATTCATTGTGTCTGTGTTGTTTCCCCTCCTGACCTTTGCCCCCCCCCCCCCCCCCCACACGACAGAGCACCTGGCCGGGCGACGTGCCCGCCCCCGCGGTGGATGGGCGGGAGCAACATCTGCACGGAGCGTCGCCCCAGAAAACTATGCCCCCTCCTCCAACTCCTTCTCCACCTCCTCGTCCTCCTCCTCCTCCTCGTCGTCCTCCTCCGCGTCCTCGTCCTCCTCCTCCTCCTCCTCCTCTCCCCCCCGCAAGTCCCCCCCCCCCCCCCGCCATGCCCAACACCGCTCGGCCAACGTTGGCCTGGGGCCTGCACACCGCGCCAGCGGGGGGGCCGCGGGCCCGGCGCCCGCGGCAATTTCAGCACACAAGACCTGGAACTCTGGACCCGTTCGGGGGACTGGTTTGACCGTCCAGGCCCGCTGTCTGACGCCACTGCTGCCCAGGCGTCCTCCGCTGCCAAGGCGTCCTCCGCCAACTGCAGCTCGTCCTCGCTCATGGCCAGGCTGTTGGTGATGCTGAGGCTCTTGCTCGCAAACCTGGTGCCAGTGCGCACCGGCATCGTGACACCCGGGTGCGCGAAGCACGACACGTCCTGCGCCGGGGCACGGGTGGGACACCAGTCACAAGAAGATGCTTCCCCACTTTCGGGCGCCCGCCCCGAGGCCCTTCCGCGAACGTAGTTAGCCTTAGGTCGGGCATGTCCTCCTACAGGCGGATTCTGGTCGGCAAAAAGAAAATACGCAACAAACACTCAGAGCGATGAGAAAAAACAAAACATCGTCCCCAGACTCCTTTCTTTTCATGCTTTAAACCGAAAGCTGTTTCTGGATATTCCTCCTGCAGAGGGACATGCCAGACTCAAAGTGGGCCAGCTGGTGCACATGCCCCAAACTGGTGCGGGCTCACCGCGACGCCGCGCCGCACGCACGGGTCGCCATCCCCAGCTCGTCCGCAGAACCTCCGAGACGCCTCAGCAACCTCCTCGCGAGAGCGAAGGGGAACTGGGACACACACACACACACACACACAAATAGATAGGCACAACTAACCAGATTCCCCATATTTCCTTAATTTTATGGGTTTCTGTCTTCCCCCCCACTTCCCAGATTTTCCCACTTCCCAGATGTTCCCGTATTTTCGGAGGAATCGAGGATTACTTGTGTCTGTGTGTTTTTCCTCTCCTGAGATTACTTGTGCCTGTGTGTTTCTCCCCTCCTCGCGAGAGGAGGCGATCAAACGCGGGGCCGCGGTGGCACGGGCCCGCGCGGGCCGCCCGAGCGGCACGCCGCCCCGCAGAAGCGGGCGCCCGCGCGCGACCCTGCGCGCGGGGGGCAGCCTGCGCGCCGGTGTCGTCGCGGGCGGCCCCCTCATTCAAGGGGCCCAAGGACACACACACACACATACATATGTATATATATATATATATATATATATATACATATGTATAAATACACACAAATTAAATAATGCCCCATATTTTCCCATATTTTCTGGGTTTTTGTCTCCCCCCCCAATTCCCATAACCGCATGCCGATGATAATAAAGGGACCCCCCCCCTTCAGTGTTTAGAGTTGATTATCGTCGCCCTATACAAAATTCAAATTGGGCGGCGAGCGCTGAGGCCGAACTTCATTATCACCTCGAAACGCTATGTTGAGATAGCAACATCAAGCGATGTTGCTATCCCCGCGCGCGCCTGATTTTTTTTATCTCTGGGGTTGATTATCCATGGAAAGGGGAGCACATGAGCTACCCTACATGAGCACTTAACACATCAATTTTCATAAAACGTTTGTAAATTAAAATTGATAGATTTGGAACTTTCCATGTTTCCGTTCTTCTTCTCTTCTTATTATTATATTATTCTTCTCTTCTTATTATTATTCTACTTTCCTCTTCTTCTTTTATATGTCTATCTGTCCTCACGCTCGCCTGAACTTTTTTTATCCCTGGGTCTGATTATCCATGGAAGATGAAGCACATGAGCTACCCTACACGAGCACTTAGAAAAATAAATTTTCATAAAGCGTTTGTAAATTACAATTGATAGATTTGGAACTTTGGATCCTTTCTTCGTCCTCTTCTTATTCTCCTCTTCTTCTTCTTTCTTAGTATTCTTCTACTGTATTATTCTTCTTTTATATTTCTCTCTGTCCCCACGCTCGCCTGAACTTTTTTATCTCTGGGGGTGATTTTCCATGGAAATTGAGGCACATGAGCTACCCTACACGAGCACTTACAAAAAAACATGTTTCATAAAGCGCTTGTAAATAAAATCTAACAGATTTGAAACTCGAGATGTTTTCTTCTCTTCGTCCTTCTCCTCCTCCTATCATGTCTTTTATTTTATTATGTATTATTTTTAATTTTCTTTTTTATATATAGCTTCCTCCATTCCAGCGAGATAAGCCATTGTTGAGGATATTTCTATGAAAACTAAACGCCAAGGATGTCTCAAAACGTGCTCGGCTTGGTCTCCTCTTGATCATCTTTTACTTCGAGATTCTGCTGAGGTCTGCTGGGCTACTTTTATTATCTCTCCCTGAACCCCGAATTTTATTATCCCCTAGTGTTTATTCTCACGGGCATGAGGTTATTTTACCATATTTTCCTGGGGGTCGACGATTAATTGTGTCTGTGTGTTTCTTCCCCTCCTTACTCATGTCTTTGCGTCGCTCACACGTCGGAAGCTGGGCGAGGGCTGCTAAAACCGTGGCTGCTAAAACGGCCATCCCGGAGGGAAAAAGCAACCTCCCAGAATGACGCGCGGCACGCGAGACAGTCAACGGGCTTCTTCCCGGAAGGACGGAGACAACTTTCCGGGGGTCGATTTTAGCAGCCACGGATTTAGCAGCCCTTGCCCGGCTTCCGAGCACGGGTCCCCAAACAAGCTGGACACGCCGACAGGAGGACCACTGGCACCACCTCTCCTCGACATCGGCCGGGCGCCCCTGGACCAGAGAGCTGGCTCCGCCGCCGGGGTCTCGAGGCGGAGCCGCCCGGGGCGGCGAGGCGGAGCCGCCCGGGAGGCCCCGAAGAGGGGCAGGTTGTCCCCCAGAGAGGCCCCGAAGAGAGGCCCCGAAGAGGGTCTGCCAGAGACCCCCAGAGTGGTACGGCTGGAGGGGGCACGAGGCCCAGCGACGCGCGTCGGCGGGCGCGCCGCTGGCTCCCCCACGCCCCCCCCTCCCCCACGCTTTCCCCCAGCCCGTCGCCCCAGGACCCCCTCTGTGATTTCTGAAGATTCCCGGAGGACTTGCCGTGGGAGTCTAGGATGTTGCAAGTAACTAAAATGCGTGTATGCAGCGCCGGCGCTTGGGCTCGAGCAAATAAGTCGGCTTCCCTCCCCCACAGCAGCAGCAGCGGGGCAGATGAGCCATAGAGGTTTCGGCAGAGTTGACAGAGTTCGAGCTGGGACGAACCTCGCCGACAGGGAGTATCGAGCGAGGAGAGCTCCAGCCAAAACGAGGTTGGTAGCGGAGCGAGTGGTTGGCGCCACTGCTGCAGACATAGAAGACATCTGGATTATGCCATCCCAGAGAGTACGAACACGGAGACTACGTACGACATGGCCGAGTATAGCAGCGCGGTCGACCCGAAGATACCGGTGCTGAAGGGCGAGACGTTGAAGGACTTCACCAGATAACAGAGGGCAGTTCAGGCGGCAGAGCTGAGCTGCGAGAATAAGGAGTCGAAGCAGGCGCTCGGTCCGAAGCTGTACAAGAACCTGCTGGGCGCGGACAACTCCATAAGCGTGCTGATCGAGCAGACGTATCCCAAGGACTACGCGACGGAGGACGGCGCCCAGATACTACTACGATTCCTCGAGGAGCAGCGCGTCGCCAAGAGCAATTTCAGGGAGCTGCCGAAGGCGTTCGACGCCTTCTTCGACCAGACTCACTTCGAGAAAAAGGGCGAAGAGCCGATGGCGGCGTTTTGCACAGCGATGGAGGTGGCGAAGCGCAACCTCGAGGAAGTGGACCCTGACACGAAGATCAGTGCGAACGAGCTAGGGTACCACACGCTGAAGAGAAGTGGACTCGACAAGGACGAGCGCAACCTAGTGATAGCACGAGCAGATGAGACCTTCAACTTCCAGAAGATTAGCACGACGCTGAAGAATCTCTTCCCACGAGGCGGAGGTCGGCACCGGGATCGACAGGGAGCGCGGACGAGCTGACGATGGGCAAACTACAACGACGGCGAGCGCGACCCGGAGGATGAGGACCAGAACGTCGAGCATGACGGGTACTGGGTCCAGGACGACGACGGCTACTGGTACGAGTGGGACGAAGAGCACGGTGTCTACGCGTTCGCGGAGGACGACGACAACTGGGACAGCAGTGACATGTTCTACATCGAGGACGACACCGACGTCTACCTCGCGAGCGAGGACGACGAGTACCAGCAGGCTCTCGTCACGCTGCGCGAGAGTAGGCTGAAGATAAACAAGATCCGGGCGGCTCGAGGTTTCTTCAAGGGACGAATCGATGGAAAAGTGCACGAGAGCGCGGCGGCCGGTGGCGAGGCAGCCGGGAAAGGAAGCAAAGGCGGCAAGGGCAAGGACGGTGGCAAAGGTAAGTCCAAAGACAAGAGGTGCACCAACTGCGGAAGAATGGACCACGCTACACCGGACTGCCCGACGCCACGACCTCCGCGGCCGGCAGGCAAGGGCTTCAAGGGCCGCGGCAAGACCTCGAAGGCTCAATCACGTCCACGACGGCTAGGTTTCTGGGCGACGACCACACTGGTGTGCGTCATGCCGGACGTGTTCCACCAGGACCCGGAGCCTGCGACGGAGAAGTTCCAGGAGCCAGCCGAGCACGACATCGTGATGGTCAAAGTGGAGAGCGACCCGATCCTACCTGAAGTACCAGAAGTGGACGCGATGATCTCGAGCACGATCGTGCCAGCCACCCTGGTGGACAGCGGCGCCTCCGGGGCGGTGGCAGGGCGCGGCTGGCTGGATAAGATCGCCGCGGAGCTCGAGAAGCATGGTCTGAGGCCCATCATCGTCGAGGCGAGCCAGAAGTTCAAGGGACTTGGCGGCGCACGACGTGAGGCGAAGCAGAAGTGGATCATCCCGATCGGTATTGGCAAGAAGCATGTCCTGCAAGAGTATTTCGAGATCCCAGGCGACATGATCGGCCTGACGAGCAAGAAGAACCTGGCGGACTGGAAGACGAACGTGTACCTGCGCGAGGACGGCCAGTGGGCCGACTTCCAGGAGCTCGGGGTGTACGACAAGGAGCTCGTGAAGCTTCCCAGCGGCCACGCGGGCATCGACATCTTCGACTACGACTTGGAGTCGTACGAGGCGGAGCCCCTCTTCGAGAAGTTCCGCATCAACGTCGAGAAAGTCGAGCCGGAGGTTTGCCTGGTCGCGGAGACGCTGCAGGTGTCCAAGCCAGACTTCAGGGTCCAGGATGACGCCGATCGGTGGGCCCAGGATGCAACGAGGAAACGGTAACAAGGGGATCTTCAAGAAGGGTACGCTCAAGCAAATCGACAAGCTTATGAAGGAGTATGCGGTTATATTCGATGTACTGCGGGACAACAACGAGACGTTTCTCTGGGAGTTGTTCGCGAAGGAGGCTCGCTTTATTCATGTAGCTTCGAAAGGTGGTCACGCGAATGCGACCCCCTCGGACCTATCAGTTGGCGTGAACTTTAACGACCCTCGGACACGATCAGATTTCCTGTTTTTGATTAGGACCTTCAAGCCCTGGATGGTTTCGGTCGCATTCCCGTGTACCGCTCACACGAACATGCAAGAGTTACAGCGTGCCCAGGGTATGGGCGACAGGGTGGACGACCTCAGCCAGGAGCTTCGGCCACTGATCGACTTTTCGGCGGAAGTGCTCAAGATTCAGGCTCAGGGAGGACGAACGGCATCGGCGAGAACCCCCTCACCAGCCGGGCGTGGCGTGAAGCCTCAATCGTGGACCTGCTGAGCTGGCACGGGAACCAGCCGCCACTCTACGAGACGGTCACGCTACACCAGTGCATGTACGGGCTCGTGGACAACTACGGCGACCCGATTCGCAAGCCGACGTGCATGATGGTGCCCAACGGCTCGTGCTTCTCTGGGTGGCTCGAGCGCAGGTGCGACGGGAGCCACCAGCACGCCGACATGGTCGGGCGGAGTACGGCACTGGCACAAGCGGGCGCCTGGCCGGACGACCTGGGCAAGGCTCTGGTGGGCGCCGGCACGCACGAGCTGGCACGACGGACAAGCCCGAAGGAGATGGGCATCGGTAACGGCACGGCGAGGTCCCCGAGCAAGCAGATCGTGAATGCAGTGGCCAAGGCGTTCAAGCTAAGGAAAGATCTGCTCGACGTGCGCGTGTTGACGGGTGACGAGGAGGTTCCGCCCCCTCGCGGGGCAGCGCGGCGACTCTGCGCGATGTACTCCAGCGAGGGCGCACTGGCGGACTACAGCGACGCCTACGCGGGCGACCCCGGCTTCGGGACGATCAAGCTGGTCAAGCGGTTCCCCACCGACACGGTGATCGCAGCTTACGTGAAGGAGCCGAAAGTGCAGACGTCCTTCCCTGCGACGGTGCACATCTACGGGAGCAAGCCCAAGACCTTCGCTCCAGATGATCGCGAAGCTGACACGGCACATCGAGACCTACAACATGAGGGTGAGAGTTTCGGGGACAAGCCTTCGGACATCACCGCGGCCCAGTGGGGCGCTCTCAAGAAGCTCCACCTCAACCTGAGCCACCCCTCTGCTCACGCACTGAAGCGTCGGCTGAAGTCCTACGGAGCGTCGCAGCAAGTGATGGATGCGGTTGACAAGCTGGACTGCGGCGTGTGCAAGGAGCTCGGCAGGCCGACTACGGTGAGAAGCTCCAACCTGAAGCTCTCGACGGAATTCAATGAGAACGTGTTCCTAGACGAAGCCGAGGTGATTCTAGCAGACGGGACCCGACTGATGGCCATGGTGATTCTGGACGACGCGTCGGGCTTCCGGGTGATCATCCCTACTACTGCAGTGAGGTCCATCACAGGTGAAGAGAGCCTGCGATGCTTTTCGCAAGGCTGGCTATCGTGGGCTGGACCACCCAAGGTGCTGTACTACGCCGCGGCCAAGGGTCACATCACGAAGCGGTTCGCAGAGATCGGAGAGAAGTATAGTATCCTGATGAGGCCGGTCCCAGCAGAGGCGCCCCAGCTCAAGGGTCGAGTGGAGCGCGCGATCGACTTCTTCAAGGACCACTTCCAGCGCCTGAACCGCGACGTGCAGCTCACTAAGGACGACGATCCGCATGTGTGGACATCGGTGAAAGCAAGCACGTGCAACAACCACATTCGGCGGAACGATTTCACCCCCTACCAATACGTGCTGGGCAGGTCGCCTGGCATCCCGGCCTCGCTGATCGAGGCGATGGAGGGCGACCAGATGCAGCTGGCATCACAGAGCGCGGCTCTCTTCGAGGAGGGCCCGAGGAGAGCAGAGCAGATACGTGCAGCGGCGAACCGGGCGTTCTTCGAGCTGGACAGCGATGGCGCCGTCAGGAGGGCCATGGTTGGCCGAGTTCGTCCACCGCGCGGACCATTCGTGCCGGGCCAGCTGGTGTTCTACTGGCGCGAGGTGAAGCACGTGAAGTCGAAGAGGCTCCAGGGCGAGCACGGTCGGCGTGGGCCAGCGATCGTGTTGGCGACCGAAGGCCACACGAGGCTGCACCTCAGCTACCGCGGGGTGCCGGTGCTAGTGACGCCGGAGCAGGTGCGACACGCCTCCCGCAGTGAGGCGGAGATGGTGGAGAACGAGGACTTGGTCAGGCAGCTCTCTCACTGGCGTGGTGGACCTACGCTACAGAAGGGGTTCATCGATGAGCGTGGACCTGGGCCAGATGGGAGCGACAAGACGGGCGTGCGCCGCGAGAGGGACGAGAAGGACTCGGACCACGAGGACGGCGTGATCGACACACCTGCGGCTAAGGCACCGCGTGCCGAGCCGGCTCCACCACCGTCACGGCCAGTGGTCGAGGCGACACCGAAGAAGGAGCGTGAGGAGGAGAACGTACCTGCACCTGGAGACCTACCTGAAGTACCACCACTATCGGGAGGAGGACCGTCTCCTCCAGAGCAAGCTACAGACCCACCTGCTGCGGCAGCTGGGCAGGGGCACTCCATGGACCTGGACGCGGTGGCTGCGCCAAGTATTCCGCATCAACAGCAACGAGAGCGAGATGGGCAACCAGAACCTGCACCACGACTCAGCTACAAGCGAACGCTTCCCGACGACCAGGAGGCAAATCGCGAACGCCTACGACTGCGACGCGAGGCTCTCAAGGGCAGCTCCATGCGACTGCCGAAGGTACCAGACGACCCGGTGGATCAGGAGGCACTTCTCGTCAAGGTCAAGAATCGCCAGAAAGGCGCGCATCTGTCCCGGAGGACCGAGACGACGAAGAAGCAGGTCACTCCCAAGAAGGGTCGGGAGATCCGCAGCATTCCCCAGGAGTTGAAGGCGGCTTTCGACGCGAGCGACCTGGAGGAGTGGCGCAAGTGGGTCGAGTACGACGCGGTGGACGGGCCGACCGAGGAGGAGCTCGCGGGGGTGGACAAGACGGCGATCCTGCCCATGAGGCGCGTTCGCACGGACAAGAACGAGGCGACGAGGGGCAACCTGTCGTACGAGCAGCACCCGCTCAAGGCGAAGTCCCGGAACATCGTTCCAGGATACAAGGACAAGCAGCTGCTTATTGGCGAGTAGCAGACCAACGCCCCCACTCTGACGGACACGGCCACGGCGGTGATCCTGCAGGAGTCCGCTAGCCAGTTGGGCTGGAGGCTGGAACAGGGCGACGTCGACTTGGCATTTCTGAACGGGAAGTACCTCGACAGCTCTCGCCGCGCATACTTCCGCGCGCCGAAGGGTGGCCTGCCAGCTGTACCAGAGTTGGGCTGGCCAGCCGTTCCAGAAGGTAAGGTGCTGAGAGCGAAGAAGGGGATCTACGGGCTGAATGATGCACCTCTGTTGTGGTACGAGGAGCATCGCGACACCATACTGTCTCTTCCAGGAGCGTCGAGATCGAAGCTGTGCCCGGCTCTCTTCATCTTCCACGACGAGAATGAGAAGCTGATCGGCCTGATCGGGACGCACGTGGACGACGACTTGGTAGCGGGCTCGCCCGAGTCCTTCGCTAACCAGGTGACCAAGCTGAGGAAGATGCACTGCTACGGCAAGTGGCAGACGGCGAAGACCGGTTTCCACCACTGCGGGAGATTCCTCAAGCAGAGAGATGATGGCACCATCACCTGCAGCCAGAGGGAGTACACCGAGAGCATCGAGAAGATTCCGATCTCCAACGAGCGTCGCAAGGACAAGGAAGCGAAGGCTACACCCGAGGAGAGGGCGATGCTCCACATCGGCAACGGCCAGATCAAGTGGCTGATGCGATCTACCCGTATGGACTTGGCATTCCGACTGGTGGAGAGTCAAGCGAGGGCCCACGACAGCGACCTGAAGGTTCAGGATCTGCTGGACTTCAACAAGCTGGTGAGCGATGCCAAGACGGACCACGTGAACATCACTTTCCAGAAGATCAACATAGACGACGCGATCGTGGTGGCGGTTGGAGACTCGAGCCACGGCAACGTGGGCAAGACGAAGACCGCGAGTCAGGCGGGCCTGGTCATCCTGCTAGCAGACAACGAGGACGATCAGTTCCTCCGCGGGATGCCTGCCAAGGTCACTCCCATGTTGTGGCGGTCGCACCGAATCAAGCGGGTGGTGCGCAGTACCCTGGCGGCCGAGTCGATGGCGGCGCTGGAGGCGGTCGAGAGTGGCGACATGCTGAGGCAGCACCTGGTGGAGCTGCACTACGGACTCGGCTACCGGACCCACATGGACGACGTGAAGGCGATCAAGATGGTTGAAGTCACGGACTGTGAGTCACTGTACGACCTGCTCCAGAAGCGAGGGACGGTGCCCTCCGAGAAGCGGCTGCTGATCGATATCGAATCGCTCAGGAACGACCTGGGGTTCAACAGCGTGGTGAGCAAGTGGGTGAGCACGAAGCAGATGCTCGCCGACTGCCTAACCAAGCACGACGTCCGCGCTGGCGACTACATGAGGTATATGCTCCAGACCGGCGAGTACCGGCTGACGGAGGATCTCATGGCGGACCAGGTCATCGCCAAGCAGAGGATGGAGCTCAAGGGACGCAGGGGTGAATACTACCGCTCGAAGTATCCCAAGAGGCAGCGGCCTGCTGACCAGCTCTTCGTTCACAAGGGCTACACCTACTTCGAGGAGTGCATTGCGGATGTGAGGTACAATGCGCGTGTGGCTCAGCCTGCTCCGAAGCCATACCTCCGTTGGCGGATGATGCTTGGACAGCGCGAGGACGACATCTACTACGAGAAGCTCGAGGACATGGTTGACTGGTCTGGATTAGACCAGGTGTCAAAGCGTCGGAGGATCCCGACCCAGGTGCGGAAACTGCTGACGATCTACGCACCGACCAAGGCGGCCTTCGAGCGCTACGAGAAGGACTTCACGGAGAAGCACACCATCAAGAAGCCGAAGGTGACGACCGATGACGACCCCAAGGAGGAACCAGGTGTCACCGAGGAGCTTGGTGCGCACGTCGAGTCAGACGGAAACGTGAAGGAGGATAGCACCGACGTTGCGGAGATCTACATGATGGACGCTGCGGGTGCCGAGTCCGAGGAGATCAAGTCAGGCGCCGCTGCAGCGGCAACGGTGACGGTGTGTGCGTTGTGTCGGATGACGTTGGACCAGTGCGAGTGCGGACCGAGGACACGCAAGAAGCCACATCGGGCCTCTACCTCGGCGCGTGCCGACGACCTGCCTGCTGTACCGGATGACGGAGACGATGATGACGAGGAGACAGGGACCTGGCAGAAGGTACCGCACCAACGCAAGGATTCTACGACCCCGATGAAGAAAGAGATGCTGAAGGCTCGCGCGCTACACGAGAGAACCGGACACTCATCATATGAGAAGATCGCGGACGAGTTCGGCGACGTGATCGAGGAAGGTGTTCTCGAGGCCTATGAGTTGGTGGTCAAGAACTGCGACGAGTGTCGTCGAGGGAAGAAGACCTACGCCTCCTTGCCGCGCGGAGCCCAGGGCAGCGAGTTCGAGACGCACGAGTCCACGAGCAAGGCCAAGGGCAAGCTCAAGGGGAAGCAGATGGCCCGAGAACGCATAGGCGACTGCGAGCACAACGTGACGACTACGCAGGGAAGTAACCAGTACAAGGATAAGCTCCGGTGCCTGCAGTGTGGCATGCTGCTAGTGGACACGGACACGACGTGGTGGAAGCGAGAGAGGGAGTACCGCGAGATCGAGAAGACCTTGCGGACCAGCAAGGAGAAGGAGATCAAAGCCGAGATGAAGGCCATCCGCCTCCGTGACATGTACGAGGGGATGGAGGCCAGTGAGTCGAGCAAGGGTGCAAACTCGACGGATACGTGAGGGACCACTACGCCGTGTGCGACGAGAACGCCATTTTGGCGATCAGCACGGTGTTGCGCTGTTTGACGCGACGCCTGCTTGTATTTGCTGCAGGGTGCTAGGCCCAGCGCACGCTGCTGCGTGTCACGCTTAGTTAGAGAAAATAATATGAGTTTGATTTCTGAAGATTCCTGGAGGACTTGCCCTGGGAGTCTAGGATGTTGCAAGTAACGAACATGCGTGTATGCAGCGCCGGCGCTTGGGCTCGAGCAAATAAGTCGGCTTCCCTCCCCCGCAGCAGCAGCAGCAGCGGGGCAGAGGAGCCATAGAGGTTTCGGCAGAGTTGACAGAATTCGAGCTGGGGCGAACCTCGCGGACAGGGAGTATCGAGCGAGGGAGAGCTGCAGCCAGAACGAGACCCCCCCCTTCCCCCCCCCCTCCTTCTTCCCGGACCCGCCGTCCCAGCGCCGCCCCCCCCCCCCCCCTCCCCCGTCTTCAAAAGGGTGTGGGGGGGGGGGGGGGTTGGCCCCGCCCCCTCCCTGGACCCGAGAGTCGGACCCTCCCCCCCTCTGGCCCCGCCGCCCCCCCCGAGCTCCAGAGCCCTGGCACCCTCACCGTTTCACCACAAGGCTACCACCCCAACCCTGGCACCCGAAGTCCAAAATCAAATAACTGCATCACTTCTTCTCCCGGCGACCAGGTCCACACCGGCCCGTGGCCGCGAATCCGGGCAAAAAAGGGGCGCGGTGCGCATCGGCTGATCGTGGGATTGTCGCATATGGGTCAACATGCTATGCTAAAAAAATGGCGTTCACATTTTCGGATCTTCGCACGGGCCCAGCCTATTCGTTCCATTGAACATGTTCCTAGAGAAATCGGTTCATCTTCACATCGACCGGATACCCACCAACCCCTGCGAAACATACCATTAATGTCCTGGGCGTCACAAACATCTAACCTTCACGATCCCCTGCGGGCAATAAAAAAAACGGTGGACATCCATCTTCCCACACCTCCCATACTTTCCGACCTCTGCGAAAGGCGCCCAAGGTGATGCATGTCTTCAGACGTATTGATATGACATGTACTGGGATGCCTCGAATGTCTTCGGATGTCTTAGTGTGTCCTTGATTTGAGCTCTTAACTCATGATACATATATGTATGCGGTTGATTGTGTGATCGTCTTGGTACGTGCGCGGACCCACCGATAACATCAACGATCGCGATCGCCATACCGACACGCACACGCGCATACACACACTAACGCAACACACACATATATATTTATATTTATATGTATGTATATCTTGAAATACGCGCGCACATGCGTGAACATACCTGCGTAAATGAACCGCAAGTATACAGATCAATGACTGCACCTATACATGCAGATATACATACATCCATGCATACATACATGCATACACACAACCATGCATACATACATACATACATACATACATACATACATACATACATACATACATACATACATACATCTACACATACTTACATACGTACGCACGTACATACGTGCATGCGTACATACATATGTACAGGCGCACACACATAGGTACTTGCATCTACAGTTGCACACACACATATTCAGACATACATACACAAACACACACGAATGTACGTATGCAGAATGTGCGCGTGATCGTATACTGTCCGCCTGTGAACGTCTACGTGTTGCCCGAAGGGCCAAGCAGCCATGATGTTTGCGTGCTCATACTATAGAGTATGTAGTGGTGGAAAGAATGATAGTGCAGCTGGTAGGTGTACGCACATAAATACACGCCGTGCGCATACATAGTACGTATGTGTTTACATAGCCGCCATGAACTTCAGAGGCACACATCGAATTCTGGTGCAAAGTCACCCTCCCAAACAGACTTAACGAGTATTCTGACATGTCGAACCATCCTCAATCATTTAATCACATTTCAAGACACCCGTGCCTTAGTTTGTGGGCGTGGTGTCATCGCGTTTGTGCCCAGCGTCTTAGTTTGTGCGCCCAACATCCTGGCTTTTGCGCCCGATGTCCCAACGTGTGCGCCCGATTCTTTGCTCCGTGGGCCAGAACATCATGTCAACACATGTCAAACATGTCAAAACATGTCAAGGCAACGATGTCTGAATTGTTGGGCCCGTTGTCTTGGTGCTTGGACCCGATGTCCCAAGTTTTTAAGGCACGATGTGTTTTTTGTTGGGGGTAGTCGCTGTTTTAATGTTTGGGACACATGTCTGCGTGTTTCGGCCCAATGTCTTAGTTCTTGGCCCCGGTGTTTCAGTTTCCCCCCCACCAGATGCAGCTGTTTTGCCTGATGAATTTGTTGATCGGCCCCTTGTCTATATTTCAGACCCGATGTCTGAGCGTTTGGACCCGATGTCTTATTTGTCGGGCCCGACGGGGCGAACAACTAAAGCATCGGTCACGAAAACGAAGACATCGGGCCGACAAACTAAGACACCGGGCGCAAAAACTGCGACACCGGGCCGAACAACTAAGACAACAGGCCCACACATTAAGACTTCGCTGTCTTGAGATGTGAAAGAGCGTGTTCTACCGCTGCTGGCGGAAAACCAGGGGGGCGGTCACTAGGGGTTCCGAACCCGTCCCCCCCTCCCTTCGAAAACAGGGGGGTCCTTCATTGCGCTACCGAAGAACCCCACATACTTATCTTATGGCTGGAATGATGGCTGCTGGAGTGAAACATGTGAGAATGAAATTGGTGGCCGTTGCCCAGACGATACCGTTGGTGACGCCAGTCAGGAGGTGCTGCAAAGCCGAAACGGATAGCGACCGCACCCCCAGCGCACCCCCTGTGGCGTCGAGAAAAAAGTCACGCCTGCCACGCTTTGCGAAGCCGAAACAGAGAGGCGCCCCCAGCGCACCCCCTGTGGCGTCGAGAAAGTGCCACGCTTGCCACGCTTTGAGAGGCCGAAGCGGAGAGGCACCCCCAGCGCACCCCCTGTGGCGTCGAGACAGTGCCACGCCTGCCACGCTTTGAGAGGCCGGAACGGGCAGCGACCGCACCCCCAGCGCACCCCATGAGAGGCCGAAGCGCATAGCGACCGCGCTCCCAGCGCACCCCCTGTGGCGTCGAGACAGTGCCACGCCTGCCGCGCACTGTGTAGCCGAAACGGATAGTGACCGCACCCCCAGCGCACCCCCCGTGGCGTCGAGGAAGTGCTACGCCTGCTACACTTTGCGAAGCCGAAACGGATAGCGACCGCACCCCCGCGCACCCCATGTGGCGTCGAGACAGTGCCACGACTGCCGCGCACTGTGTAGCCGAAACGGATAGCGACCGCACCCCCAGCGCACCCCCTGTGGCATCGAGAAAGTGCCACGCCATCCACACGTTCGGAGGCCGAAACGCATGGCGACCGCGCCCCCAGCGCACCCCCTGCGGCGTCGAGAAGTGCTACGCCTGCCACGCTTTGCGAGACCGCCGAAACGGATAGGGACCGCACCCCCTGCGCACCCCCTCCGGTATCGAGAAAGTGCTACGCCTGCTAGGCCCTGCGACATTGGCGCGTATTGAGACCGCGCTGAGGGACCACCCCCTGCGCACCCCCTCCGGTATCGAGAAAGTGCTACGCCTGCTAGGCCCTGCGACATTAGCGCGTATAGAGACCGCGCTGAGGGACCACCCCCTGTGCAACCCCTCTGGTGTCGAGAAAGCAGCTGTGCTGTGCTGTGCTAAATTGTGCTGTGCTGAGCTGAACTGTGCTGAGCACTGCTGTGCTGTGCTGTGTACGCGCTGTGTGTCAATGTGCTGTGTGCTGTGCTGTGCTGTGCTGTGCTGCGCTGCGCTGCGCTGTGCTGCGCTGAAAGGAGAAGGAGGAGGAGGGGTGAGGAGGAGACGCGGGCGCACGACGCAGGAAAAAAGAAAACCGGAACCCCACTCAGCATGTGGGGAACTTCCGGTTCGACCCCCCCCCCGCGTCCATTATGAAAAGGGGATGAGGTCACTACCAGTTCGCACACACCCCCCGTCGCCGCTGGCAAACGATTCCCACTCGTCGGGACAGTGGGACAGTGGTGGGGACACTGGGACAGTGGTGGGGATGGTGGTGGTGGTGGTGGGGACAGTGGTGTGGGGACAGTGGGACAGTGGTGGGGACAGTGGGACACTGGTGGGGACGGTGGTGGTGGGGACAGTGGTGCGGGGACAGCGGAACAGTGGTGGGGAGAGTGGGGACAGTGAGACAGTGGTGGGGACGGTAGTGGACAGTGGTGGGAGGGGACAGTGGTACGGTTGTGGGTGGTGAGGACGGTGGTGGGACAGTGGTACAGTGGGGAGAGCGGTGGGGACAGTGGGGACATTGGGACAGTGGTGGGGACAGAGAGGTTATTGGGAAAGCACAGCAGGACAGCGGCGGGGACAGTGGGGACAGTGTGACAGTGGTGGGAACATTAGGACAGTGGTGGGGACAGTGGGGACAATGGGGAGAGTGGGACCGTGGTAGGACAATGGTGGGGATAGTCGGGAAAGAGACACTGGTGGGGGCACTGATGGGGACAGCGGGGAGAATGGTTGGGACAGTGGGGACACTGGGACAGTAGTGGGGACAGTGGGACAGTGGTGGTGACGGTGGTGGTGGGGACAGTGGAGTGGGGACAGTGGGGCAGAGGTGGGGACAGTGGGGACGTTGGAACAGTGGTGGGGACGGTGGTGGTGGTGGTGACAGTGGTGAGGGCGGTGGTGAGGACTGTGGTGGGACAATTGACAGGGGTACAGTGGGGACAGTGGTGGGGACAATGGTGGAACAGTGGGACAGCTCAGTGGGACAGCGGCGGGGACAGTGTGACAGTGGCAATGTGGGACAGTGGCGACAGTAGGACAGAGGTGGGGACCGTGGGGAAAGTGGGGAGAGCGGGACTGTGGTGGGAAGAGTGATGGGGACACTGTGGACACTGCGACAGTGGTGGGGGCACTGGTGGGGACAGTGGGAACGGTGGTGGGAAAAGTGGGACAGTGGTGCTGGGGATGGTGATGCTGGGGACAGC